TGCTGCTGCTGCTGCGGCTTCTGCTTCTTGTTCATCGGGTGCCTGCTCGACTTTTCTTTGTGCAAAGTGTTGCATAAATATTGTCGATACTACCGTTCCCTGATAGCGATTCTTTTGGTGATGCTGTTGGGGGTGGTTGTCTTTGTCGCAGCGGATCCGTTTTGGCCGTATTCCTCTCTCCCTGTTCACCCTGTCTTGTCGTTTGTTTTGTTTCTGTAAATTTGTTCGTGATGTTCTTATCCATGCTAGCGCCATACATGGCCTTCTTCACGCCGATGAGTCTGCTTGTTGGCTTGGCGGGGGAATGATGATGGTGGAGGCCAAGATCTCTCAGCAACAAGAGGGAGAACCAGTGTGATGGTATTGGTCGGGAGGATGGGGAGGATGAGGAGGATTGAGTGACGGCAACCAGGATGCTGTGGGATGTTGGGATCGGTGAGCATGATGAGAGGCAGAAGGGTGAGGAGGACGGGACGTGCCGTCTGAGAACCGAGGCGGTCTACGAAGGACTCTTTGCTGGAATGAGCCTTCTTGCATTGAGATGCGATGTTCGAGGTCCCTTTTCGTCTTCAGTTAGCAGATTTCTGAGGGCCTTTCTCTGGGCCGAGAAGATCTTCCTGAAGCGTTTGGAGGAGGCCAGACCAGGCCATGGCTCACGCAAGCTTGGGGATCCACGGGACAAAGGAAGTGCAGACGGACTCCGTGCAGCAGCGGCTTGGATCGGCAAGATGTGTCAAGACTCCTGCTTCGCATCTTCAAGTCTATCTTTCCGTTTAGCATTCTATGCTGCTGTGTCTCGTGACTGCTGCCAGGCTGTTGCAGAAGGTGCCGTCAAGTGCCAAAGCTACACTGGGACACGTGAACCCATCTGCTTCATTCTGCAGTCTGACTGTGCTGGGTTGGGTGCATACCAAGGTGCAGAGGCCTTCGTCGTTTTTGAGACACGCTCGTCTCGTGACATCGCTCTTGCGGCACTGCCGGAGACTGTCCAATTCAGAGGCAGGGCTTACAGAGCATCAGTACGGGACATGACGGATGCTGCATGTTCTTTGAAGCGGCACTGTAGCCAGGCTCTTCTCTCAGTTTTTCCGTCTTGGTCTCAGCCGCGCCGCATGAGCAACAAACACAAGACAGCGAGATGCAGTAACAAAGCGGACACATGCTGAGGGGGCGGGGAGGGGGGGGGGGGGGGNNGGGGGGGGGGGGGGGGGGCGTATTTACACAATATGCACTTTCGAAGAGATTTGCAAGCATGCGTAGCAAGGTTTCGCAACCAGGAGTTCTCAAAGTCGGTCCTTGCTTAGGGACCTAGGCTTCGGGTTTAGGGTTCGGCTAAACTAGGCTCGAGGATGGGGTCTAGGTCCTTGGGCCGCCAGCGGGATTAGGTTTTAAAGGTTCGAACAGTGTGATGTCCAGCAAGAAATCGTGTTCTTTCCAGTCTCGCTGCGGGCGCGTCCTCCCACGCCGCCGAAATCATTGCAAGGTCCAGTGTTTTGCAGCTCGCGAAGTTGATGAATCGTGCTCCCGCCACAGCACTCGTGTAGTGTTGAGTGTTTTGGATGGAAATCGTGTTCCGGCGGTTTCAAGCGTTTGAGGCAGCTGCTGAAGCTTTTTTCACGACCACACTATTCGCTTCCTGAAGGTCCCGGAATGGCCCGGAATCCCGCTTTCCTGAAGTTTTGGAGACATTCGGAATCGTGCTTCCACCGCGGCCGTGCGCATCATTCGCTCCGTTTTTCAGCTTTGGCCTTAGGGTTTGGGTTTGTGGGCAGGCATGTATAGGGCCTAGGGTTTGTTGATCGTCTATCCGATTCGGGAAATAGTCATTCCTTTTGTGAATGGTTTTGGGTTGTTGGGAAGTAGTCACTCCTTTGAAATTTTAGGGTTTCGGGTTTGCCGCCAGTCTGCGCGTTTAGGGATTAGGGCTTGTTGAACTAGGGAAGTAGTAGTGTTTTGGGTTTTTGCGAGCCTGTCACTCCTTTTCGGTCGGGCAAGCAGTCGCTCCTTTTAGGGTTTCAGGTTTGTGCGCTTAAGGTTGGGGGTTTTAGGAAGTAGTAACTTGTTTAGGTTTCCGGGTTTCGTCTAGCACTCACTTTTTGGGTTTGCCGCCTGCTCTTCTTAAGGGTTGAGGCTAGCAGCCGGTCCTTTTTCGGGTTTCGGCTGCGAGTCTACCTCTTTAGACTTTAGAACTTTAGGCTTTTGGGTTGTCCTTATTTTTTTAGAATTTGCCGCCGGTCTACGCGCCTAAGGTTTAGGGTTTTTGTGAACTAGGGAAGTAGTCACTCCCTTTATTGTCTTGGGCTTTTGCGAGACCGTCACTCCTTTTGGGTCAGGCAGGCAGTCACGCCTTTCAGGGTTTAGGGTTTAGGGTTTACCACCAGTCCACACGATTAAGGTTTGGCGCTTTTGGAAGTAATCTCTTGTTTTCGGGCTTTGGCCTACCCGCTCCTTTTTGGGGTTGGGAGTTTCGGGCTTGCAGCCGCTTCTTTTTTCGGATTTCGGCCTTGCATTCAATGTACCGTTGTCACTCTAGGGAAGTAGTCACTCCGTTTAGTGTCTTGGGTTTTTGCGAGCCCGTCACTCCTTTTGGGTCAAGCAGGCAGTCATAGGCAGTCACTCCTGTCAGGGTTTAGGGCGCCGCCAGTCCACGCAATTAAGATCTGGCATTTCATTTGAGTCCAGTGGAACAAGGAAGTATATAATCACTTGTTTGGGTTTTCGGGTTTCCGCCTGGGTTGGCCTGCTTTTTTTAGGGTTTGGGGTTTCGGGCTAGCGGCCGCCTCTCCTCGTTCGGGTTTCGGCTTTGCTGCCAATGTATCTGTTTATGGTTTTGGGTTTTTTGGAAGATCTTTTTAGGTTCTCGGGTTGGCCGCCAGTCAACTCCGTTTAGTGTTTTGGGTTTGCAAGCTCGTCATTCCTTTTAGGTCAGGCAGGCAGATCAAGCAGTCACTCCTCTTCGGGTTTAGCGTTTGCCACCAATCCACAAGATTAAGGTTTGGGGTTTTCGGAAGTAATCATTTGCTTAGGATTTGGGATTTTGGCCTAGCACTCACTTTTTGGGTTTGCCGCACGTTGCTTTTTTTTAGGTTTTGGGGTTCGGGCTGCTGCCCATGTATTTGCTTAGGGTTTTTTGGGTTCTTCGCGAAGATGTCACTCCTTTTGGGGTTTCGGGTTGGCTGCCACTCTTCTCACTCGTTTAGGGTTAAAGGGTTGTAGTGAACTAGGGAGGTAGTCACTCCGTTTAGTGTCCTGGGTTTTGGCGAGCCTGTCACTCCTTTATTTATGTCAGGCAGGCAGTCACTCCTTTCAGGGTTTAGGGTTTGCCACTATAGTCTGGGCGATTAAGGTTTGGGCTTTTGGAAGTAATCACTTGTTTTCGGACTTCGGCGTAGCACTCACTTTTTGAGTTTGCCGCCTGCTCTTTCTAGGGTTTGGGGTTTCGGGTTAGCAGCCGTTCCTTTTTCGGGTTTCGGCTTTGGTGCCAATGTATCTGCGTAGGGCTTTGGGTTTTGGGAAGATGTCACTCCCTTTTAGGGTTTCGGGTTTGTCGAGTAGGGTGTAGAGCTTGTTGCAGATAGTCGCTCGTGTTTGGGTTGTGGGCTTCATCCGAGCACTCACTCGCAGGTTTGCACACTGGTTGCCACCGACTCACCGTTCTTAGGGGTTGGGTTTTGGGCCAGCAGCCGCTCAGAAAAAAATTGGTGGGTTTCCATAGCTGGAGTGTGTAGACATAGCGACGTCCTGCGACTGAAGCATTTTGAGAGCTTTCATGCTCGCCGTCATGCAGCTGGGCACGCATATACGAACACAACCTGCCCCTTCCACTGCCTTCCACTTCCTCACCCCCACAAAACCCAACAGGGGCGCAAAATCCTACAAAGGCATTAGCAGGTCGCGGGGGCAAACGCATGGCTTCGGGGGTAGTGGTGGTGGTAGCAGCCGCAGAGGTAGTGGCAGGGGCAGCGGTACTCGTAGTAGTGGTAGCAGCGATTGTGGCAGTCCTGCCTATGTTTGTCAATGCTCAATACAAATAGCAAATTGAAGAGGAACGTAAAACAAAACTATTAAGTTTCAAAGTGTCCCTCCAATTCGAGCCGAGGCCGCTCGTCACGAGCCGCGGGGCATCTACTGGCCACTTCTTTGCATATGCGAAAAGAAGGCAGAAGAGTGGCGAGTCTTCAGAGGAGAGGATAACAGGCTCTCGGAGTGTTGCCTTAGGCAAAACTACAGCCGATCTTCCGTGCGCGCCAAGTGCTGGAAGATCACGAAAGGCACCCTGCAGCTATCCGCAGCTGCGGTTGCGTCGGTTTCGTGTTCCGGTTTGCCCGAAGCTGGGAGTGTGGCTCTCCGAGAAGGCCTTTTCTGCATTGCCGCTGGTTTGACCACGTGGGGATGCCCTGAGCTTGGGTGCCTTCAGCCTTGCTGCATGGTGGTTTTGGTTCATGAGCTGAGGTATTTTCTACTTGCCATATGTTTGGTCTGTCCTCACCTTCAACTACGAGGCTGCGCGCCGGAAGTATGGCCTTCCAGACAAACACAGATACCTGTCCACCAGGGTGGACGACAGCCCGGGTTTATTTACAACCTATGCTTTTCTGTGGCGTCGCACTTACCTCCTCTGTTTGTTTGCTCTAACTCTAGCAGCAAGCAGTTGCCATGCTTTGTGCGTCCTTCCCCTGCTATGGGGCTGTCGGGGACATCTCTGAGATTGTCGTCGTGGGCAATGCTTCCATGTATGAGATCTGTGCAAGAGTTGCTGACAACGTCGGATTCAAGTACAAAGAGACGCGGGAAGCTTGCTATATGTAGCTGGACTGCATGATTCGAGTCGTATTGTGCTTCGCAGTTGGCAAGTTTACAGGAGGAGGGCCGGAAGATCTTGCCTGAAGATGCATGATTAATGCCTGAGGATCTTGTATTTGGTTTCGGTATCGCTCAACATAATTCTGGACCTCGTGACGCTCGGATGCAGTTTTGGAGAGAGAGAGAGAGAGAGAGAGACCCGATTCTCGAACAAAACACTTTTCGCACCCCCGAAAGCCCCATAACATATGGGGGGCCAATAGGCCGGGGGGTCTGACAAGCCGCCCATGCCCTGGGGAAGAAGAAGAAGAGAGAGAGAGGACACCCCAAATACTGGGGAAACCTCCACTGATGGCCAACCCAGAGTGAGTACCGTCTTTTACTTAATGGTACAGGTATTCTTTCTTTCTGCCTGGGGGGGGCCCGTACCACCTTTCTGACGTCGCATGAGCGGCAGCCGACTCGCTCCTCTGCGTGGACCGAGGACTTGGCTGCGCGCACTG